CGTCAAGGGGAGATGCAGTTTTCTATGGTAGGCCAGCTCCGCAGCTCTTTCAGTTGTGATGTTAAGTTTTCTTAAGGTTTCCTTGACACCCTCGATCCACCTTTTGCGTGGCCTTCCTCTTCCTTTATAGCCTGAGTGCTTGGTGTTGTAGGCTCTCAAGGCTGGTTGGTCAGGTGACATGCGAAAAAAAATCAAAGGAGAAAACACCTGGAAGAATACTAGCATAAATTACATGTACATCTCTGCCTGTTAGCTGGTGATATAACAGTCATTTAAAACTTAAACACTCTGTCTGCGTGTCTCTTCCTCTGATGACACCCCTCCCCCCAACACACACATCTCCTCTCTCTCTCTCTCTCTCTCTCTCTCTCTCTCTCTCTCTCTCTCTCTCTCTTTTTTTTTCTCTCTCTCCCTCTCTCTATGGAGAGAGAGGGGGGGGTAACTAAAGTCGCTCCGCACGCGCACGTACAAAAAACCACTTACACTTACACACAGATAATATACACACGAACAGGAGCGGAGGGAACGAGAGAGAGAGAGAGAGAGAGAGAGAGAGAGAGAGAGAGAGAGAGAGGGGGGGGGGACACACACACACACACACACACACACACACACACACACACACACACACACACACACACACACACACACACACACACACACGCACGCCCGCACTTCGTATTTGATCAACGGGTGTTTCCGTTGTTCGTAATTATTATAAAGTTCAAGACCAAGAGAGACGTTAATTTTAGGTCTATGGGTATTTCCGATACCACGAACCCAGTGTGGTTTCCGGTTGACGAGAGTTACACAAACAAACGGAATTTGGCGCAGCTGTCCAATGTTGTGGGACTACACGCCAGACTTGGCCCGACTTACTCTTTTCTACAGAGGCCTTGGCTATTGACTTCTGAGCAGCATATAAAATCAAATTAATGAGATTCGGGAGATCTGTAGCCTATTGTTTGTTTAATGTGCATAACTTCAGAATAAATATTTTCAGCAGAGCAGACATGGCATCGTCGAAATATTTCACTCGAGCACAGCTTCAACAGCGAAGCGATGATGATGAGACCAACGGCGACAGTAAGCGCAAAACCAAAGCCAGAGTTAAAGTTAAAGAAGAAAATATTTCCAAAGTCAAAGCAAGTGAAACCATAAGTGGAAAACTGGGTTGTACCATGAAAAGCCTGGCTAGAGGTAAACAAGAATTTTCACATGCGCCTGCTTTGGACTTGGTGGATCGTGCCTCTGTGAGTTCTCCAACTCCAACGGCCAGAAAAAGACCAAGGCGGCACATTAAAATTGAGACTGAGAGTGACAGAACTGATGCTTCTGATGTCTGTGTGTCTAAAAATCAAAATGTTAAAGTAAAGCAAGAAGTTTCATCTGTTGGAGATCTAGATCTGCTGTCACTACACATCAAAGCTGAGAAACCTAATCAGGAGTATTCTTCCGATTCTGTGAACAATGCCATTACAGATCATGAAGTCAAAGCGGAATGGCAACCTCCGAGATGGCGTGAACAGCTTGCTAATATTATTGAGATGCGAAAATTCAGAGATGCACCTGTTGACTCCATGGGTTGCGATGTTATCAGTGATGTGTTGGCATCGCCAAAGGTGACCAATTTTTCTCATTCATTAAAAAACTCGTCTCTATATATCACTAGAGTCTAGATCTAGATCTCGATATATATATATACATATATATCTAGATATCTAGATTGAGATCTATGCGTGCTTTTGGTTTGATAATATAAATCATCGTAGTAATGGAGCTATAAATTTGCTCACAGTAGATCTTACTCAAGATTGTTGTCAATGACACTGTTGGTAGAGGGGGAATCTTTACATAGTAGAGTCTAGACTATTAAATCAGTATGACCGAGACTAATGATGACACCTTTAAAAAATGTCTTCAAGTTTTTTTAGATACTTTTTTCAAACACACTGCCATCTTTGAAAGATGGACATTTTCATTTTAATCATAAAGAATGTACGTGATCAATCCCTTTATCAAGGCTATTTTTTATTTTTTTTGTTACTGTTTGAAATTAAGTGGGGAAGAACTTTGATTCAACCTGAAAAAATTTAGAATCTGATGCTTTTCATTAAAATTTGAAGGACAAAAAAGGCCCTGTTTGCATGGCATGGTCTTGATTTGTCAGAATTTGGAATTTAAATACAATGCATTTCAGTCTGCTTGCAGTAAATTTTCTGGAACAAAATCATTTTTGTCAAAAGTACTTTAAAGTTTAATTTTTAAAGGTTCGCTATAAAATTAAGGGGAAATAAATGAGGAGTCCCTCATATCATAAATTGTTTTCATGGATAGTGCCCCCTGCAATTTATTCTGTCCTGTGTGCTCCGTCTTTGGTATGTAAATTTTAAATAGAAAAGTACTTTTTTTAAAACATTTTTTTGGTTGGTGTGTGTGTGGGGGGGGGGGGGGGGACGAGGAGGAGGTAGAATTAGGTAGAAAGTGAGGCTGTGGCCAGAAGGCGGAGGGGCCACTGCCTTTACAGAAGTTACAAGTCACAATATTATAAATATCAGATTATAAACAGAAATCTATAATTCACCATGTTATAACGTTCTTGACTTTAATTGTAATGCAAAAAGTTCAGGACCAAGGCCACAGTTATTTTTTTGCAGATTTCATGTCATTCAAATTCAGTTGTTGCTTTTTTGTTGTTGTTGTGTTTGTTTTTGTTTTTTTCTACCCCCTAAGATTAGGTACAGATTTCTTCTATTGTTTTCTTGTGTGTTTTAATATTAATAATAATAGATAGCTATATTATTACCCCAGCAGACCATAGTACACTCCGAAACATTCTCAGCTTCCTGGGAAGCATACAGTGCGAGCAGCCGATTTTAAAGCGCTCAAACACTAACAAACTGACAAGATCTTTCGCTGTCTATAGCCGGGTACCCATTCCCACCTGGGTGAAGTGAGGAAAATTCGTGTAAAGTGCCTTTCCCAAGGACACAACGTCGGGCCCTTGACGGGATTCGAACCCACGACCTTACGGTTGCGAGTCCAAGAGCTTAACCACTAGGCCACAGACGCCACGATATTGTGGTTCTACTTTTCATATTTTTTCCCACATTCTTTCAAGTTGTACTTTTGTGTAAATTATTTGTATCTGATCAAGCTTTTCTCTCTCTCTCTCTGCTCCAGGACTACAGGTATCAGGTTCTGGTGTCATTGATGCTGTCCAGCCAGACCAAAGACCAGGTGACCTCAGCCGCCATGTTCAAGCTACGAGAACACGGGTGCACCGTATCCAACATCCTTGCTACGTCGGATGCTGATCTCGGTTCTCTGATTTATCCAGTAGGATTTTGGCAAGTATGTTGCTTGATTTATGTGCTAGTATTAAAGATGTGGTTGCTGTGTGTGGCATTCCCAGAGCAAATCCAGGCTGTCTTTTTCTTAGTGTCAGTTCCTCGCTTTTCCTTTCTGCTTGATAGCCATTGTGCTTCATTTGGCACCATGGTTCTAATTTTGACACTCCCCTTTTCTTTTCCTGAAAAAAAATAAAAATAACCTAAGCGCTTGTGGACTAAGACTGATGATATTTTCCAACAGTGCTATCTTTAGCAAGATACCAGTGCATAGATGCAAAACTCATAAGAGCTGTTTCATGTGATATCAAAGGGAAGTGGTTGTTCCTACATAGGTGATTGTCTTTGGCAGGAGGTCGATTGAGCAAGTTTGACTCCATACTGTAGACCTTGAATTATATATATATGGCAAACACTCATGGTACTAGTATCAACATATTGAGGTTATATTTTTGCATAGGAATGTCTATTTCTAGTTATTAGCATCTTAATTGAATTTTGATTCAGTCTCCAATACAAAAGGCTGTCTTTGTCATTGTTTGTGTTTTGCATGTTGTCTACATATGCCGATGAAAATGATACAAAAGCAATTTATTTTTCTTTCTCTTCCTCAGAAAAAAATTGGATACATCAAAAGAACTTCAGAAATTTTGTCAGCCAAGTATGACGGAGACATCCCAAACACCATAAAAGATTTGTGTAGCTTGCCTGGTGTTGGCCCGAAAGTGAGTTCTCCTGGCTATCTTTTCAAAAAGGAAAAAATTACTCCTTGGGGCTTAGGCTCCCGTACCCTTAGTCTGTCTACTCTTTCATCATGCAATAGTCAGACATACTGTACTGTACTTCTTTCTTTACCCAGTGTGGTATTTTTAAAGAGAATTGTGTGTTATCTGTAGCCTAGGGTTTAGGCTGCAAGCAAGATTATTTGCCACAAAGGTACGGGATCAGTTCACCATGGTGTCTGTACGTTGGGTGCTTGGAAAAGACACAAGCAGGAAAATTGTCCTCTTTTCATTCAGGTGGGAAAGGGTACTCTCCAAAGACAGTGACAGATCTTGTTAGTATTTTTGTTTTGGAGCATCTGGTCAATGGTGTTTTCTGCTGTTGCCTCTGACGGCTGAAAGTTGTTTTTTTTCTTTTGTAAAGTAGGTAGAATTAGGTAGAAAGTGAGGCTGTGGCCAGAAGGCGGAGGGGCCACTGCCTTTACAGAAGTTACAAGTCACAATATTATAAATATCAGATTATAAACAGAAATCTATAATTCACCATGTTATAACGTTCTTGACTTTAATTGTAATGCAAAAAGTTCAGGACCAAGGCCACAGTTATTTTTTTGCAGATTTCATGTCATTCAAATTCAGTTGTTGCTTTTTTGTTGTTGTTGTGTTTGTTTTTGTTTTTTTCTACCCCCTAAGATTAGGTACAGATTTCTTCTATTGTTTTCTTGTGTGTTTTAATATTAATAATAATAGATAGCTATATTATTACCCCAGCAGACCATAGTACACTCCGAAACATTCTCAGCTTCCTGGGAAGCATACAGTGCGAGCAGCCGATTTTAAAGCGCTCAAACACTAACAAACTGACAAGATCTTTCGCTGTCTATAGCCGGGTACCCATTCCCACCTGGGTGAAGTGAGGAAAATTCGT